GAAGATTTTTGAGGCAAGAACGAGGGAGAGAAGACGGATAAATTCCTAAGAGTTTTCATCTTCTTCATACCTCTATTTGTTGATTATGAATTATTTTAGTGATTTGTTTTCCATTAGTATGAGTAGCTAAATCTATTATCTAGGGTTGATGGAACCAATTGTTGGATGAAGTCTTGACTCTATTTTGTTATAATTGAGCCGTGTTTTTCTATGATTCTTCAATTACGTATTGTATTTTGGTTAATTGAAAGGGCCCTCGATTAATCGTATCTATTCACCTTGTGTTCCTTGATAAAGAACACTTGGTTAGATTGTTGTTGAACAATACCACTTTTGGAAAAATTAAGAAATTAATTACTTGAATTTAAAAGTGGGGTTAGAAATAACGAAGCTTTGGTGGGATAATTCTGAGTTGCATAAATTGTTAACTAGAGTAGTTCGAGAGAATGCTTCTAGTAAATTATCATAATTGATCGAAAGGTAATTACGGTAGCCCAGAACTCATAATCCTCATAGAGTATTACGACGAGATTATAGCTAAAGAGTTGAGAATTAATCCGGCAATTGGGAAAATCAATAGCCCTAGACCCTTTTACCCTTGAATTCAATTTTAGTCTTGATTATTGCTAATTTTATTGTCATTTTTCCTTGGCTAAATAAATTTCACTGATTATTCATAAAACTATTGCATCAGGAAGTTGTTTGAGCTTATCATTAGCATTATTTAAGGTTGTAGTAAATAGGTTAGTTCCCTGTAGGATTCGACTCCGGACTTGAATCGGGTTATATTTGCAGCGACCGCTTAGTCCTTCTTACAAGGCATAGTTGGGCGTGATCACTCTACATGTTATGCTATCGCCTAATTAGGGCAATTTGAGAAGAAGAAAAAAATGTGCACATGCACACACATATGTTCTTCTCACAGAATTTGATGAGTTGGTTTTAAATAATGTTCTGTGCCGGAAAGGCAGGATTACATCGGAATAGCTAGAATAGTTATGTTTGGTGATATAAGGTCATTGGACCTAGAATGGATACTATCATGTTTGATTACAACGTGTTGGAAGAATAATTTAGAATTCAGCTTATATAATTGGCTATGGTACTTGTTGAACGAGGAAAAACTCCGTGACTTGTTGATCTGGTAAGTGGTCATGGAATTTCATGTGTTTCTTTCATTATCGGCAGTGAACGAAGGTTTTGGAATGAGGTGTTGTTTGATATGGGGTTTAATACTGGTATTCATTTTTTTATCAGCTACAGTGATTAGAAACTATTCCAAGTATGCGGGTTGTGTGGTATATCATGTGACTACATCTGGAGTTATGGCTAAGGCTTAATACAACTTGTTAAGACTCATACAAAGTGTTGATGTGAGATTCGGTTCTTGAAAAGAAATTTTTGGATGTTGGAAATTGGATTCCAAGGTTTATGGGCTAGTGCTAAATTAGTAATTTTCAGTTATGTGGTGTCGTCAGGCCTATATGGAATAGGGTGACGTGGGATCACCCCCGGATATATGCGTGATAAGGTGAAATAGTGATTTGAAGGTTTAGGGACAACAACTCCTGGCACGTTCGAGGTCGAACATATGTTTAAGTGAGGGAGAATGTAACGATCCGACTTGTCATTTTGATAATTAGCATTCCGTTCAGTGGCTTAAGATATCGATAAACTTTGAAATGTGTATTATGACTTGCGAGGGTGGTCAAGTTTGGTTTTCAGATGATTCAGGATTTAATTGAAAGAACAATTCTTGTTTTGGAAGCTTAAGTTGAAATAATTGACCGGCTGGTAAAATATATGTAAATGACCCCGTAATGGAATTTTAATTGTTCCAATATCTTCGTATGATGATTTTGGACTTAGGAGTGTGCCCGGATATTTATTTTGAGGTCCGTAGCTAAATTATGCTTGAAATGGCGAAAATAGGAAATTTAAGTTTGGAAGTTTGACCAGGGAGTTAACTTTTTGATATCGGGATCGAAATCCGATTCTGAAAATTAGAATAACTCCGTTATATCATTTATGATTATGTGAAAAATTTGAGGTCAACCGGAGTTGATCTGATAGGTTTCGACATCAAATGTATAATTTGAAATTTCTTAGTTTCATTAGGCTAGAATTGGGGTGCGATTTGTGGTTTTAGTGTTGTTTGATATGATTTGAGCTCTCGACTAAGTCCGTAATATATTTTGAGACTTGTTGGTATATTCGGACGGGGCCCCGAGGGGCTCGGGTGAGTTTCGGAGTGGTTTCAGACCATTTCTAGGCCATTTTAGCTGTTGGTGTTTTTGCTACAATAGTGTGCATCACAGAAATTTCTGCTGCATAGGACTAACTTTGGAAGCTTATATCTCGTAATCTATAAGAAATTTGGCAATAATTCAAAAATGAAAGTTGTAGTCCTTTGTATCTAGTTTTCATAAATTTAAACCGTTTGGCAATTAGAGGTGGGTACAAGAAGTTATGATTGATACACTACAGGCTGCCGGAGAAGAGTTTTGGAAGAGTTTGATGTTTTCCGCATAAGCATGTAATGATCCAAAGGTCCATTTTTAGTTCTAGAGATCAAAATTCGATTTTGAGACTTCCGGGAGTTTGATAATAAATTATAGGAATGATCTGGAAAGTTTGGTCTAATTTCATCAAGTCGCGATTGGGTTTTTAGCACGAAACATTGAGTTAATTGCTTAACGGGCGAAATTAGTATCGTATTGAGCAAATGAGCTCCGAATTGAGTTTCGATTAAAGGAATAGGTTCGTATTATCATTTATGACTCATAGGAACAAGAATCATCGAATTCCGAGTTCGTATGATTGAGTTAGAGCCTTTTTAGTGAAAATAAATATTGTTGGTCCAAAGGTTATGGTGCGCACATTAAGCGGCCAGATTTGGCACTTTACGCGACAGGAATTGGGCTTTTAGCGACTAGAATAGTGTTTTTATTGAGAAGTTCTGTTTTTACCTCATTTCAACATTTTTGGACGAAAGAATACGGCTTGGGGCAATTTTTGAGCAAGAAATCACGAGAAATCTTGAGGTAAGTCACTTGTGATCATTTCTACTATATAATATTGAATTATCATTGAATAATCCGACTAGATTACATGATTTTGAGGTGTAAATCGGGAATTTGGACCTAGGAATTTAAAAATAAGATTTGAGGATTTGGAGGTCAAGTTGATATCGGAATTTGGTAAAATTGGAATGGTTAGACTCGTGGTTGAATGTGCTTTCGGATTTTGTAACTTTTGTCAGGTTTTGAGACATGGGCCCCACAAGCAATTTTTGGGTGAAATTTCAGATTTTGATGGGAAATCTGTATATTCATATGGAATTACCTATAATTTGTTTTGACTAAATCGAATTATTTATGATTAGATTCGAGGCGTTTGAAGGCCGATACGCGAGGCAAAGGGATTGCAGAGTAAGAAATTACACGGTTTGAGGTAAGTAACACTTCTAAACTTGGTTCTAAGGGTATGAATCCCCGAATTGGTGTTATATAAATTGTTTGGAGGTGACGCACACGATAGTTGACGAGCGTGAGGACGTGCACCATATAAATTATTATCTGAGCATGTTCCACGTGTTAGAGAAATTGAGCTGAGGCTCTTATTAAAGATCATGTTTAGGCGACGTGCCGATATTTTGGGACCTATGAGGTCCTGTTGTTGTTGAATTAATTGTTTTAAAAATGTACATTTCACAGTCAGTCATATTCGTCCATTGTGAGGATATTTATGGGATCGAGCTGCGCGCCGCAGCAGACGACATTGGCTATATNAAACTTACCAGGGCATGGACTTGCCTTACTTGTTTATATTGTTATGAGTTTCCCTGGACATGAATCTTGTCCGTATCATTTACATTTGGGAATGAATTTTTCAGGGCTGGATTGGCCTTATACGGTACTAAGTGAGTGACTGTCAGTCGATGTGTATATATATATACAGGATGGAATATCCCTGGGCTGGATTATGCATAAAGAGTATTGAGTGACCGAATAATTTGTGACCAGTAGTACATGAGGTCTTACCACTTAGATGTCATATTCTTCATATTATGCAATATTGATCTATTTTTGCTTGCATTGAGTTTAACTGTTGAACTTGAAAGCATGTATTCATTTCTGTACCATTATTTATGTACTGAACTATACCTGCAGAGCTCGTCACTACTTTCAGTCCAGAGGTTAGTTTTGTTACTTATTGAGTTGGTTGTACTCATACTACACTCTGCACCTCGTGTGCAGATCCAGGTGCTTTCGGACACGGCGACTGTTAGATCTCAGAGAGCTATCAGTTGGAGACTATCAAGGTAGCTGCCTGGAGTCCGCTGACCTTGACTCTCATTCTTTCAGTTATTGTACTATTCTATACTTTCTGAGAATATTTTATCAGTCAGACTTTATTATCATTTAGATGCTCATGTACTTAGTGACATCAGATTTTAGGAGTGATTATATCTGTATTTGTGAGATTTCTTCCGCTGAATTTAATTATTATGTTTCAAACTTAAAAGATATGGTGGTTTATTGAGATTGTCGGCTTGCTTAGTATTGAGATAGGCGCCATCACGACATGTGAGATTTTGGATCGTGACACTAATGTGGATATTAGAGATCATTTACTCGGGCTTATTGGTCTAAGAGTGAGAACCAAATATGTTTGTATCATCTTTGTCCGATTGGTTTGATCTGGTTTTGAAGAGAATATTCTTACTTGAGCAAGGATATTTGTCATTTTTCGCTTTTTGGTTTACGTAAATTTAAAAGAATAAGTAATAATTAAGCTTTGATCAATTGAAAAGTTATTCCTTGGTTTTAATTACTTTCCCTGGAACCTGGAGAGTGAGAGAAAGATTCATTGACTTCCAAGTCGTTCTGATTCTATGCCCTATTCTACACGCAAGTCTTGTACTGATTTACTACCATATAAAATAGTATATATACTGCACAAGTTCACCCATAAAAAACCAAAATAATCAACTCAACATAGTTTAGTGATATATGATGAAGGTTCCCAGTAAAATATTTTCTTTACTTCAGATTTTCACTCTCTTATACCTTTTTACAGTTACTTTTGCTTCCACTGAGGAAGCAATTTCTCTCCTAAAATGGAAAGCAACTCTCCAAAACCAGAACAGTTCCTTATTGGTTTCATGGACACAAAGTTCTAAAGCATGCAAGGACTGGCATGGAGTTGTATGCTTTAATGGCAGGGTAAACAAGTTGGATATTGCAGATGCTAGTGTCATTGGTACGCTCTATGATTTTCCATTTTCATCTCTCCCTTTTCTTAAATATGTTGATCTTAGCATGAACCAGCTCTTTGGCACCATCCCACCTGAAATTAGTAAACTCACTAATCTTGTCTATCTTGACTTGTCGTTCAATCAGATTTCAGGCACAATCCCACCACAAATCGGCTTACTTGCCAAGCTTCAGACCCTCCACATAAGTGGCAATCATTTAAATGGTTCCATTCCTGAAGATATAGGTTACCTAAGGTCTCTTACTGAGTTAGATTTGAGTAATAATAGTCTAAATGGTTCTATTCCTGCTTCTTTGGGGAATTTGAACAACTTGTCCCTTTTGTGTCTTTATGATAATTACCTTTCTGGCTCCATTCATAAAGAAATAGGTTACCTATCTTCTCTTACCGAGCTAGATTTGAGTAGTAACTTTCTTAATGGTTCTATTCCTGCTTCATTGGGAAATTTGCACAGCTTGTCCCTTTTGTATCTTTATGGCAATCAACTTTCTGGCTCCATTCCTGAAGAAATAGGTCACCTAAGGACTCTTAATGGTTTGGAATTGTCCAACAACTTTCTTACTGGTTCTATTCCTTCATCATTGGGGAATTTGACCAACTTGTCTTTATTGTATCTTTTTGCCAATCAGCTTTCTGGGTCCATTCCCAAAGAAATAGGTTATCTAAGTAGTCTTACTGATTTAGAATTGTCTATTAACCTTCTGAGTGGTTCTATTCCTACTTCATTGGGGAACTTGACTAGCTTATCTCGTTTGTACCTTAATAACAATCACCTTTCTGGCCCCATTTCTTCTTCATTGGGGAATTTGGGCAACTTGTCTGTTTTATATCTTTATGCTAACGAATTTTCTGGTCCCATTCCTAGTGAGTTAGGGAATCTAAAAAACCTTAATAATATGCAATTATCGTTTAATCAACTCAATGGTTCAATTCCTACTTCCTTTGGCAACTTGAAAAACTTGCGGTATCTGTTTCTCCAAAGCAACAATCTCATTGGGGAAATTCCTTCATCTATCTGCATTTTGATATCATTGGAAGTGCTGTATTTGGGGAGAAACAACTTCCAGGGAGAAATTCAGCAATGTCTAGATAATATCAGTGGCCTCCAGGTTATGAAAATAGCATATAATAATCTCAGTGGAGGGATCCCCTCCTCTATTTGCAATTTAACATCACTACGAATTTTAGATTTGACGAGAAACAATCTTAACGGAGTAATTCCACAATGTTTTGGCAACATGGGTGGTCATCTTGAGGTTTTGGATATCCACAACAATAATCTTTCTGGGACTCTTCCAAATACTTTTAGCATTGGAAGTGTACTCAGAAGCATCGACTTGTATGACAATCAACTTTGGGGTAAAATTCCCCGATCTTTGGCCAATTGCAAAGAGTTGCAAGTTCTTGATTTAGGAGATAATCATCTCAGCGATACATTCCCGTTGTGGTTGGGAATTCTGCCAAATCTAACGGTTTTAAGCTTGAGATCAAATAAATTGCATGGACCCATTAGAACTTCAAGGGATGAAAATATGTTTCCTGAGCTTCGAATCATAGATCTCTCTTACAATGCCTTCACAGGAAACTTGTCGACGACTCTATTTCAACAATTGAAAGCCATGAGGATAATTGATCAAACAACGAAGTTACCGACATATCTTGGTAAAGTTGGAGAGAGAGATTACAATGATTCTGTGACAGTTGCAACTAAAGGACTTGAGCTTGAGCTGAGTAAAATTTTGACAGTTTACACCATTATTGATCTTTCAAGTAACAAATTTGAGGGACATATTCCAAGTATTATGGGAGATCTTATTGCACTTCGTGTATTGAATTTATCTCATAATGAATTGCAAGGTCATATACCACTATCACTTGGAAATTTATCTGTAGTCGAATCATTGGACCTTTCATTTAACCAGCTTTCGGGAGAGGTACCACAACAACTTGCTGCTCTTACGTCTCTTGCATTCTTAAATCTCTCCCACAATCATCTCCAAGGATGCATTCCTCTAGGACCTCAATTTGCTACATTTCAAAACAATTCATATGAAGGTAATGATGGATTACGTGGATTCCCTGTTTCAAGAGGTTGTGGAAGTATTTGGATACCAGAAACAAATTATACAGATTATGCGCTAGATGATAAAGAAAGCACTTCTGAATTTCTCCATGATTTCCAAAAAGCTGCTCTTATGGGATATGGAAGTGGACTATGTATTGGATTATTCATAATGTATTTCATGATCTCAACTGGAAATCTGAAATGGCTTGCAAGAATCATTGAAGGATTGGAACACAAAAGGAGAAAAAAGAAGCAGCGAGATCAAAGGGATTATAAAAGAAGAAATAATCGCTTCTAAACAAGGAGCAAGCTTTGACTTCAGGTATTCAAGTTATACGTCTTTCTTTTAGTTTATTGTAACTATTAAGATCTTAGTTTTCTTACTTTTTGTTGTAACAACTAATCTATACTAAGTGTTTGACTCACACTATCTTATTTTTCAAAATTTCAGATGTCAATGATAAGAGGACATTAGCGTAATGGATTTGGTTATTCCCAAGTTTGCTTTTAAGCTTTATTTTCTGGCATGTCTCTAATTTGCGTTTACGCATTTGTTTTCTTTTCTTGTTCGTGACTTGACAAGGTTTGTATTGATCTACTTGAGTTTTATTAGTTATCCACTTAGGTTCTTGAAGTTGAAGAGCCTCTTGAAGTAATTCTAAAGTGCAATGTTCAAGACATGTGGAAAAATAATGAAATAAACTAGAACTGAAGTAGTCTGAATAATTTGTGTTCCAATATCATAAATTGAGATCATCATTTACATTATCACCTAGTAAAAACCTTACTTTTTGTTTTTTTTTTTCTTTTCTTTTGGGGAGCAACATGAAAAAAAAAGGTCTGTAATATATGGTTCATGAAAACAGTAAAAGAAGACTTGAATGATCCTTACCATTATAGAGTAACATATCCCTACTTTTTTGGCTACTTAAGTATGGCTAGAACTTTTATTGGTCCTAAGATATTTTTGAAATAAGACTTATGAATTACAGGCAAGATATAGGACATTCTAGTAGAGAGTATATTAGAGATAATATACTAGAGAAATTACTCAGGTTACTATAGAAATTACTCAGATATAGTGAGGAAGTGGTGAAATTCCTTGAGTTAATATATCCAAAACAACTGTGAAAATCTTTAACCGCTGGAACTTAAATCAATCTTTATCTACTCAATCTGTATTTTAAAAGGATGTTTTCGGACTCGCCTCCGGACTCGTCCCAGGGCGGAGCACTATCAAAACTCCCCGAGGCTCACATATGAGGCTTACTTCTATGAGACTTACAATCCAAGCGGCCGTTTGTGCGTCCGGAACACGCCTAACGCTCTTCGTTCGAGACTCGCCTAATAGTTCGGTAGTTCCTAGCATAAATCATGCATTAAATTCCCTAATTAGCATTGTCGAAACTCAAATTTCTCTAATAAATGAATGATTAAAGTTTTATTCAGCTATAGAAATATGAAGATTTAGAGTAATTCAAAATAATGAGTTATAGTATTGCATATTTACTAGTAATTGAGAACATCCGAGAGTGAATATCATTTGAATAGCCAAATTTTCATCTTTACTTACTATAGATATTCATATTTTAGTTCTGTCTCTCAAATTATCGAACTTTTATTATTTTACTATTTGAAAGTAACTTTATATTTACTCACGAGAAGTAATATTTTAAATTACATTATTGATGGAGTTTATTTATTATTAACTTTTAAAAAGGTAAACTGTGTAAGTTGATAATATTTTTTAAAATATTATGATCTTTTAATCGTTTGAAAGATAAGACATTATAGTTGATTTTTATCTTTTAGTAACTTTAAACAGTATTGTATTGTTTACATTTAAAAAATGCTAGATATTTTATTTTTGTGAGGTTTTTAATTTAACTTTTAATGTACTTTATATATTTTTATGATTATTTTTTATATTTTATTAATTTATAATTTAAAAAATTTAAAGACCCATTGGACTTACGCCTCATGTATTGGGCTTATACCTCACCCCGTATTAAATAAAATACTCTGCCTCATGCCTCCGTCTTTTACAACACTATACTCAATTTTGAACTCTAATAGCTGGTATGGGAGATTATTTTCCTATTTTGATTGCATAGATTTAATTTTGGACAACAAAAACTATAAAAAAATTATTTTCTTAAACGATTGGACTCGATGATTTAACATTTTGCACGCTTGTGCATTGACTTGAGAATGACATTTTCTTAAATCGAAATTTATTGCCATTAAAGCACCCGTATTTGCTTGCCCCCCGTGTTAAATAAAATACTCTGCCTCATGCCTCCGTCTTTTACAATACTATACTCAATTTTGAACTCTGATAGCTGGTGTGGGAGATTATTTTCCTATTTTGATTGCATAGATTTAATTTTGGACAACAAAAACTATAAAAAAATTATTTTCTTAAACGATTGGACTCGATGATTTAACATTTTGCACGCTTGTGCATTGACTTGAGAATGACATTTTCTTAAATCGAAATTTATTGCCATTAAAGCACCCGTATTTGCTTGCCCCCCGTGTTAAATAAATAAAATACTCTGTCTCATGCCTCCGTCTTTTACAACACTATACTCAATTTTGAACTCTGATAGCTGGTGTGGGAGATTATTTTCCTATTTTGATTGCATAGATTTAATTTTGGACAACAAAAACTATAAAAAAATTATTTTCTTAAACCAATGGACTCGATGATTTAACATTTTGCACGGGCAAGACTTGTGCATTGACTTGAGAATGACATTTTCTTAAATCGAAATTTATTGCCATTAAAGCACCCGTATTTGCTTGCCCCCCGTGTTAACTAAATAAAATACTCTGTCTCATGCCTCCGTCTTTTACAACACTATACTCAATTTTGAACTCTGATAGCTAGTGTGGGAGATTATTTTCCTATTTTGATTGCATAGATTTAATTTTGGACAACAAAAACTATAAAAAAATTATTTTCTTAAACCAATGGACTCGATGATTTAACATTTTGCACGGGCAAGACTTGTGCATTGACTTGAGAATGACATTTTCTTAAATCGAAATTTATTGCCATTAAAGCACCCGTATTTGCTTGCCCCCCGTGTTAAATAAATAAAATACTCTGCCTCATGCCTCCGTCTTTTACAACACTATACTCAATTTTGAACTCTGATAGCTGGTGTGGGAGATTATTTTCCTATTTTGATTGCATAGATTTAATTTTGGACAACAAAAACTATAAAAAAATTATTTTCTTAAACCAATGGACTCGATGATTTAACATTTTGCACGGGCAAGACTTGTGCATTGACTTGAGAATGACATTTTCTTAAATCGAAATTTATTGCCATTAAAGCACCCGTATTTGCTTGCCCCCCGTGTTAAATAAATAAAATACTCTGCCTCATGCCTCCGTCTTTTACAACACTATACTCAATTTTGAACTCTGATAGCTGGTGTGGGAGATTATTTTCCTATTTTGATTGCATAGATTTAATTTTGGACAACAAAAACTATAAAAAAATTATTTTCTTAAACCAATGGACTCGATGATTTAACATTTTGCACGGGCAAGACTTGTGCATTGACTTGAGAATGACATTTTCTTAAATCGAAATTTATTGCCATTAAAGCACCCGTATTTGCTTGCCCCCCGTGTTAAATAAATAAAATACTCTGCCTCATGCCTCCGTCTNTCAAATTAGCACGGGTGACCCCCAAAAGTGGTGGTCTTAGTGAAATATCCCTATTTTTGACCGTCTTACAAAAGTGTCTCCCTTTTTTAGAACATTATAGATGTTCACTTTTTAAAGTTTAAAATTTTTGCCTGGCGGTGAAAAATAAAAGTTAACAATCGATTATTGTTAAAATTATTTAAATGTTAATAATTTTTGCTTAACTTTTAGTTCAAACACATATTTTGGTGATTTAATGTAAAAATCTCAAAACTGCATTGTTGAACCTTAGAAAATATTGAAGAAGACAAAATGATTCTTTTTGGTTGGTGTTATTTGATTAAATTGGTGATTGGGGATTATGTGTGTTGATATTTGAAAGCTCTGTTTCAAATTAGAGATTATTTGGAGCAGATTAGGGGTGGTTTGATCGAAATTGAAGTTGTAAATTCGAAGAACACTTATTAAAACAATCCAGGAAAAAAGTATGCCAATCCGGTTTACTTCGATGAACAACTTAACAGATAGATAAAGAAAATATAACATAAACTCTACCAACCCAGTAGAGAAATAATTGAAGAGCAGAAGTCTGATAATCTAGTAGATTTCAATGAACAACTTAATATATAAGTAGAGTAATAATAACATCAACTTTACCAATTCGGCAGAGAAATCGTAAAGAGGAAAAGTATGACAATCCGGTAGATTTCGATGAAAAATATAATCCAGTAAAGAAAACCCTGAAGAGATGTGTACGGTTCTGAAATTATTAATTAAATACCGCCAATTTTTGAAACATTCTGCTAAGACCAGCCCCAAAAAGTCCGTTGTGGTGATTAATCACCGTGTTGCACATGACGGTCTCATCGGCAACTATAGGTGCTGCAGTGGGGTGATTGTGGTAGTGATCAAGGCCACGACCATCACCGCGATGCAAATGAGAAGGAATGAAAGTAGTTGCTTGTTTAGCATTTGGAGATGGCCAATAATTTGTGATTTCCTTATCAATATATATATCTACTATCAACGGGTATCATTATACTATATTATAATGGCCCATGTCAAGACACCAAGCCTTTTAACCTTGTCTCTTCTCTCTGCCCCACCTTGTTCCTCTGCCCTAAATGGAATCCAACAAATATTTATCAATCATGTTAGTTAGATAGTTATTGCCGTATTTTAGAAGCTCACATTGAATATGTGAATTACGTTCGTAGTTGATGAAGTAGGTTTCTTTCTTACCCCTATGTACCTCCATGGAAACCCCCCCCCCCCC